TGAACAGTATTAACAGACCTTTGCTGTATATATGCATCTTCAACGGGTGAATATGTATCACTACATTAGCAGTGGTATTACAGGCTGAATTTTTGGAAGTTTCACGATTTTCGTTCATTAGTGAAGTGGGAGGTAAATACACGGAGGGATTCGTTAAGAAACGACCCGGTGGAACTCGTGTGTTTATCGGTTGGAAGAGTTTTTGTGTTCGACATTGCCTCCGATGGTCAAAACGATGGCTCATTCTCAAGGTGTGTTTGGGTGATTTTGTACACGTAATTCAGAAAACATTCTCATTAGTGGATCGCTCTCGTATTCCATGGCATTTGTCCTTGTAAATCGCACACATAACTCCGCAGTCATTTCTAACATGGACAACAAAATAGGTTCAGATAATTAGATACAAGCCAAGTCATAGCCCAGCTCAAGCTCGGCAACAAAATTAATGATAGACTGATTGCAATCTGAACACAATCTCTCGGCTAACACTGAACAACTTCCCCAATGGCTTCGAGATAGGGCGTTAACAGGTAATTGGTGCATCACAGGTTCGACTCCGTTTGCGGAGGGAACTTCACTTTTGCTTGAAACTGAGTGGTGTACCAATGTCATTGAACTTAGGTTCACATAATAACATCAGTCATAATTTCATTTGATTACTTCATATAACGACTCATCGCTTCGAAGTGGTATCATTTTATGATGAATTATGAACCTCAGGATACATCAGTATGTTATATGGATGCGCGAACTGAGCAGATTCGTTTTGTTCTATTGTTCGATCGTGATTTTGAAGTGTCCGCGGGACTCACCGAAACTGAAGGACTCCCATCGGGATTGACGATCACTAATCAGCAACAGTTAATATCTCTTTCGAATTCTTTCATCGTGTTTCGTCTCTGCGAAATATCTCATTTTGCTCAGTTTTCTTTGTATTCATCCAAGTATTAAGTTTGCGAGCAAACCGACTGCAATACCACTCCAGTCAGCCTGTGGTAAAACATCAAGGTTCAGAGAGGTGAACGACAAATTGAGAGGCTGATTATTGCATCAACTTCCACCATTTTCGACCCAAGGCAAATATCTGAAGGCAGTCAAAAATTTCCACTCACTTTCAGTGAATTAGCCTTGAAATGTGCCAGTCCATTGGATGCAGAAAAGTGGAAAGTTGCGATATTGGAATCGATGAATGGATCAGGTCGTATTTGGCGTGAACCGCATCCGTACGGTTCAACATTCCCATTGCGACGGACACAGTCTTGTCAATGGTTTGTTTGCATGAAATCGATTTGATTTGAGTGAATTCATTTGAATGTTCACATTTGAAGGTTTGTTGACGGTCGAAAGTATATGGAACACGCCGCCAATATGATGGAGTTAGCGCAAGAGGAGATTTTTATCGCAGATTGGTGGTTGTCGCCTGAAATTTACNTTGATATTATCACATTTAACAAGATTTTCGCCCACAAACGAGAAATTACCAATTTCAGCGGAAAGCTGAGCAAGGAGTACGAATTTTTGTATTATTATATAAGGAAATGGAGATGGCATTGGGTTTGAACAGTATCTATACAAAACGGACATTGCAAGGACTGCATAAGAATATCAAGGTTTGTTCTGGTCTCATCAAATCGTCACATCCTTAGAACAATTTCAAATTTTCTAGCAAAAAAATCAAAATTTATGATCAGAAAACTTTAGAAAATTTTCGAGCTTGGTGAAATGAGTTCAGTCACGAAAGAAATTGATGGAGTGTGTCATTGCAGGTGATGCGACATCCAGATCACTACATCTCATCGGGTACATTCTTTTGGGCACATCACGAGAAATTGGTGATCGTGGATCAGATGATTGCGTTCGTCGGTGGTGTAGATTTGTGTTACGGGCGATGGGATGATTGCAGACATAAGTTAACGGATTTAGGATCTGTTAAGTACGGCCTATCGCATGCGATGCAAAGCAATAAAGACTTCTCAATGGTTCGTTTCTATTCCTTCAACTGTTCATCCATTCACTGTGACTGAAGCACAGTTTTGAGATCGTCTTTAAACTTTACTCTTGAAATGCATCTTTAGTAAACTCATAATTTCTCGTATTATACGAAAAATCTCGGAACATTTTAACATCTAACAAATCACTGAACAGATGATGGATGCATGAATGTGATTTCAGTGATTTATGCGATTCAAGTGATTTACGCATAAATCATATGAATGTAATGTCATACATAATTTCTCTTGTTATATTAAAACTTCTGAACACTTGAACATTTCTACCAAATCACTGAACAGATGATGTGTGGATGTGATTTCAGCTATCCGCAATGCGTACAATGGCTGCGGAATCTGTAACACTGTCACCACTTGGACTTGAACCGGACGAGAACGTGCCTGGTGAAAAGGACACGAATATGAAAAATTCGAATAGAGAAACGAACAAAAACCCAGAACGTTTCACCTCCGAATGCGTTATTATGATGACAGGATCAACGGATGATGATCCGAATGAGAGCGCAATCGATNATAGTAAAGTTGATCCAAGAGTACGGCCTCTGGAAGGTATTGATGAGGTGGATGAGTGTAAGGCCGGCATGATGATTCGAAGAGATTCTTCTTCATATCGGCAACAACAAGAAAGCGTTGTTGGTAAGACGATTTAATGATTATCACTGTAATTGAAATTCTCATTCTGTTATCATTTGGCTTTTTATCGTTTCATTTTTATTTTGTTTCCGTTAAGGTAACTGTTTTTTCATTTGTCACTGATGTGATTGATACTTTCCATGTGTCATTTTCCTGAGCCCGGGAGGCTTCAAGCTTTTGCATTGACTATATGGTTAGAGTATCTTGTGCAAACGGTATGCAATACGAGTGTTTGTTCAAAATTAGTAACGTTGATTATTATTCGTTGTTGATTTCTTGTTATGATTATTGTTATTATTATTATTGCTGTTGTCATCAATGAAAGTTATTGCTATATTACTATCGTGATTAGTATTATTCTGAGTACTGTTCTTAAGGTGACGGACAATCGAACAGAGTAATAACATCAAAAACAACTTCAACAACGACATTCATAACGAAGCGAAGATGGAAGTCTGCTAGTCAGTCGAAGGCTAGCTCGAAATCATCATCCAGAATTCGGAAAAGCTCCGGAACTGAGGAAGAATCGGGTCAGAATGAGAGTCAACGACCCATAGTTACAGCATCGACAACTACAACCACAGTTACAAGGCCGTTAGCAGTTGATACTCAAAGTGGTAAGTTTTTGCACTAATATCTTTATGATTATTGTTTTCAGCATTATTATTGTTGTTAATATCGATGATATTGCAGTATTGTATTGTTATGAATATTATTGTAATGTTAGAGTGTAATTGTAACAGTGAAGTATTTGAATTGTTACATTATTGTGGCATTGGTAGAATGGAATTGGGCATTTGAATTTCAGAAAGTTTCAAACTTAACGGGATGATTTTTAGAGGCGGCGAACCGTCGCAAAGCACATTCCACTATGGTATAGAAAATGAATGATTTGGGATTTCACTATTTGGGATTTTACATGGGAACTTTGAATTTTTTTGGGATAATTCTGTGGACTCTTTGAGTGTATGTTAATTTCTGCACTGAAATTCCCATTAATACAAATTGCATAGATTCAAAGGGAATTCTTTATTGGAGCGAGCATTCACCGTATATTTTGAATGAAATAATGGGTTTTGACGCAGTCAATGAAAGATATTGAGGAGATAATTTGAAGAAATGCGATTACAATTCTGTTACAATAGGGTAATCGCTACCGTAACAGAATTGTAATTAGATAAATATTCTGATCAATTAGGTAGGAAAAAAATGTTAAATTGTAAATATATCCGTTAAATTCTGATCGATTATGAGATTGCCGTGCGAGTTTTAAGCAACCTATTGGTTCTGTAAGACTTAAATTGGGTGAATTTTATGAGGAATGCATTTATCTTTCGAAGTTTCTCCCAGTTCATTGTCTGTATTCCTATCCATTTCACTAATCAAATTTTTTTCGTCGAATTTATAAAATTATGTCTTGAAATCCAGTTTGTAATATTCTGTATTCTCACCAGTATTCCCAACATCTGAAAGTTTTCTTTTGTTTCATGCCTGCTTTTTCGTTAGTTTATGCAGTTTTGCCATCTCATTGCCATTTCTGTCACAAAGCTTTTGCAATTGAACCTTAAAGTTTTCGATTCTTTTCGAGTGGTTAGATTAATTCTTCTGTAATTTTCGTTATCAATTTTATCAGCGGCATTATAGCCCTTACTATTTCTGTTGTTACCATTTTCATCACTTAATATTGAGTTGTCATATTCCAGGTGGTAGTCAACGACTGTCAATACCAACAACACCAGCAAATGCAGATGAACAACAACGAACTGGAAAAGCGAAAAGATTTTTGTCAGCGATTAGACACTCACCGTCAATACCTCGTCGATTGCGGGGTCATACGGATTTGCCACCAACTGAAATGGTCGCGATGAACGCGAAACACATGGACATGCATGAAGCACTCAACAAATACAAGGTAATTCTAT